CTTAATATGGGAAAAGTCTACCTCCTCTCCACCATTTTCTTATACTCCACTCTCATCAAGAAGCCTCTGCACCTGGCTTGTGTGCGAGTTATGATTTCTGCCAACTTGTCATCTCTCATCTCCTCYAGGAGTCCCAGCAGCCCAGCTTTGAAAAACACCTTGAGAAAGGAAATATTGCCCTTTGTTAATGTAATGTGGGACAGAATAGACACACAGAGTCTATCAGGATSCTGATGGATTTTAATGACCATGATCAGTATCACCTTAGGTCCTCTCCCAAATCTTCTGTCCAAGGTCTTTGGACTCACCATTATCTCAGTCCTAAGCATTCAGTCCCTGTCTGAGCTATGTTTCATGAGTACAGGTTTACAGTTCAGCCAACAGCTTCAGTCACCCCTATGCCTGGTCATGGACACCAGTGAGCTCCACCCCGACCTACTGATTTACTTCCTGGCTTGATGTTAGACCAATATACACTGCTATGTATAGAAAAATAATGGGGAAGAGCTACAAGGGGKTCTGTAGTTTTGGGAGGTTAAGGTGCATTAATGACTGGGGCCTTGCCTTGTTAGCCTACCCATATCTGACCCTGACAAATCTGAAAATCAAGGCTTTATGGCTTCACTTTAGACCATCCWTATTGTAAAAACCTGACTTACGGTCTGGACTATCATTTGAGAGTCAACTACAATTCCTGGGTCATTCTCACTTGCTTTGGTTGAGTACTGTGGGGCTGGGCACAGCCTCTAGTCTGGCAGCTCTGTTACGTTACTGTGCCTGATCCCCTGACAGAGCCCACTTTTACTGCTTCTGACAAACTTTTAAAACAGGTCTTGTTTATACCTTGGTGTGACCAAATCTGTACTGGGTATGGTCTACATCAATAGACCCAAGGAGCTTCTCTGAAGCCTTCTTGTTGTCCATGAACTGWCCYTCTGGRATRGCRCTGGCATTAAGTACTCTATATCTGCACAAGAAAACAGAACATGACGAAATCACAATCACTGAAACCACAATGTGGAGCTGAAACTACCATACGGTGATGGAGAAGTCTGGAGCACCAGACTTCTCAGTGTACCATTGAACCAGTCTCATGCCTGGAGATGGTTCACCCTTTCAGGACAGGATATAGGAAACATTTTTAGCAACAATTCTAAGTACAAGAAAATCCTGATCTCAGCGCTGCCACGCCATCCTTAAACTGATGGTGAGACATCTATATTCTGAATCAATAGGAATTTAAAATAAAAAGTTTAAAGTCTATTATAATGATCAGGCTCTTCAGCTAGGTCTGAAAGGGCAGAAAGGTGCAGAAAYCTTACCTCTGTTTGAAGTCAGCATAGAGGACTCTGCTGGGGAACCCTTTCCTGCAGATCCTGATCCCTTCCAGCACGCCGTTACAGCGCAGCTGATGCAGCACCAGCTCGTGCTCCATGGCACCTGGCAAATACCACCATTAGTGACTSCCCTGCTGTTTGACACTCAGGAGAAGAGCTTCTGCTGCTCAAGTTTTCCTCCTCTTGGCTTGCCTTACCAGGTGTTTTAGTCTCATTTGGGATGATGCACCGTACAAAATGGGGGTGAGTGCTTCTCAAGTTAGCCATCAGCTTNCTGCTTCTGACAAACTTTTAAAACAGGTCTTGTTTATACCTTGGTGTGACCAAATCTGTACTGGGTATGGTCTACATCAATAGACCCAAGGAGCTTCTCTGAAGCCTTCTTGTTGTCCATGAACTGWCCYTCTGGRATRGCRCTGGCATTAAGTACTCTATATCTGCACAAGAAAACAGAACATGACGAAATCACAATCACTGAAACCACAATGTGGAGCTGAAACTACCATACGGTGATGGAGAAGTCTGGAGCACCAGACTTCTCAGTGTACCATTGAACCAGTCTCATGCCTGGAGATGGTTCACCCTTTCAGGACAGGATATAGGAAACATTTTTAGCAACAATTCTAAGTACAAGAAAATCCTGATCTCAGCGCTGCCACGCCATCCTTAAACTGATGGTGAGACATCTATATTCTGAATCAATAGGAATTTAAAATAAAAAGTTTAAAGTCTATTATAATGATCAGGCTCTTCAGCTAGGTCTGAAAGGGCAGAAAGGTGCAGAAAYCTTACCTCTGTTTGAAGTCAGCATAGAGGACTCTGCTGGGGAACCCTTTCCTGCAGATCCTGATCCCTTCCAGCACGCCGTTACAGCGCAGCTGATGCAGCACCAGCTCGTGCTCCATGGCACCTGGCAAATACCACCATTAGTGACTSCCCTGCTGTTTGACACTCAGGAGAAGAGCTTCTGCTGCTCAAGTTTTCCTCCTCTTGGCTTGCCTTACCAGGTGTTTTAGTCTCATTTGGGATGATGCACCGTACAAAATGGGGGTGAGTGCTTCTCAAGTTAGCCATCAGCTTGTTYAAATTCTCCTGTGAGATCATGAAATGAAGTTTATATTAATAAATGTAAGCAATGGAATCTTAACAGCGGATGTACCACACTGGTGTTTCAAGATGGAGACCTGTCTTCTCTAAAATAATTTGCAGCCCTCCAAAAGGGAAAATTGGATGCTGAAGGCTYCCAAATTTTGGTTTTGAAATTCTTTTATAGAATACTGGTTAGTATTACTATTCCTTGACCTCCTCATCCAATTACAGGGTTGCCATCTCACAGTTTTCCTTTGAGCTGGCTATTCTTGAGGTATATTGCTGGGGATTTTAAATAAATGATGCATAGTCAAGCATGACTAGCATCTGATTCATCAGCTAAGTTCTTTCTAAATGGAGGGGATAGTTCTGTAGTCCATGCAAAATGACTGTTTTAATAGTTATTCAATCTCAAACTTAAAGGACGTAATTGCGAACTGACCTCAAAAGTCATTAATTTGGTGTAGTTTAAACTTCATTCTCTTTCCATATTGAAATCAAATCACTGCCTTAAAATCTTATTATCTTGGGGCAATTTATTTTGCTTTTTATGTTTGACCTATTATTTTCAGATTTTACAATGAGTCAGTACTGAAAATCTGCCTAGAGACATAAAACAGGTCTAGGAAATGTAGTTGAATTCTGCAGAGAGGATTTTAAGGAAGTTAGCTCATATGTTACTCACTCCCGCCTAAGCAGGTGAACTTAACCCTTGAGATATTTTTCTGGAATATTCAAAGAAGTGCATAGCATTGTAAAAGGAATATTCTGTAAGTTCCAAAGATGGAAAAGGAAGAATTATAAAGGATGACAAGAGATATGGCCAAAATGGAAAGAGAACTTTCAGATTCATAATAAAATTGCTTTTCATCTTCAAGGAGATAATGAATA